ATATATATATATATATAGTTAAGAATATAAGTTGTTGATCTGTACTGATCTGCCCTGGATATAAGGAAATGTAAGGTGTTTTTTCTGATATACAAAACATAAATCTGCTGAAGTGTCCTGTGGGTTATAAAACATTTGTAAGAGGAATATCCATCTGTCCATACAATGTGATAAATATACATATGTATTGAGTTGTTTGAGAATTGAGTTTTTTCAGGTAAATCTTTGAAGAAGAAACAAAATGAAGCGTGAGGAACTAAGCTTATTATACATAAAGTATAATTTGCAGAAAATATTGCCATATGAGCTACTACTTCTGTTGCTCAGGACCAGTGCTGTTTCTCCTCCTGCTATGTATTTTCTTGTTTAACTAATGAAGTCTCCTGGGCTTTTAAATAAAGGAAGAGAGATAGTCTTTGGAAGGTGTCAGGGTCCATGCCTACTGTAGCTGAGAACACTGTGTTTTGGACTGTTAGATACCTTCCTTTGTGTTCATGTTTCTTGTTGTTTGTTTGCTTTAGCTCAAGCCTGGGAGAACATGATGAGTGCCTCAAGCCAGAGTCCTAACCCTAACAATCCCGCTGAATACTGTTCTACTATCCCTCCTTTGCAGCAGGCTCAGGCCTCGGGCGCCCTGAGCTCTCCGCCTCCCACTGTCATGGTACCTGTGGGAGTTCTAAAGCATCCTGGAGCAGAAGGTAAGAGTGCTGCTTTTTTCTTTCAGTTTGCCTGTAGCAAGAATGTGGGAAGAATATCTGCACTTCATCCATTCCAAATACTCTAGCTACAGCCAGTTGTGATATTCCTTACCTCGGTAGGAACATAGGGTTTTTAAGGACAAGTAAATTGTTCTCAGCAGATGTGTTTATACATGATGCTGCCATAGGCAATGCACTAGATGATGTCTTAAGCCCTTTGCAGTTCATATTTCTCTGTTTATTAATTTTTTCCATTTCGTTCTTCCGTACTCAAATTTCCAGTCAGTGTTGCTGTGAGATCTTAAATCCTGTTTTTTAATGTTCTCTCTAGTGGCTCAACCTAGAGAACAAAGGCGTGTTTGGTTTGCTGATGGGATATTACCCAATGGAGAAGTTGCAGATGCAGCAAAACTGACAGTAGCTGGGACAACTTCCACAGGAACCTTAGCAGTGTCGCATGATCCATCAAAGCCTGTCAACAACAACACTTTAGCAGCAGAAGTAAGGAAGTGTTCTGCTGTTCACCACAGAAATACCACGCTTGCTTTGGTTGCGTAGCCTGTGTCTGAAGGATATTTGTGAAATGCATGTTTTAAAGAAGCTGTGTCCTTGTCAGTAGGGAGTTTGAAACCAGGTTGTTGTAGAACAAAGCAGAAAAATACTGTGACACTTCTCATAAAATGATGTGTGCAAGAGAGTGCAAGTACAATCTAACAATATTAAATCTACCATACCCCATGTGAGTGGAATTGAGACTTAGTACTAAAAGTTCTAGTTCACGTACAGGAGTCATCGTACAACCATCAGTTGTTAAAGAGGCTCCTTCACCTAAATCTAGTAATCCAGCCAGCCAGCTCCTACATATTTATCATTATTACTTTTGTAATGTTATCCTTTCTTGTTTGCTTCTTGTAGACTGATAATGCTTCTGTATTCTCGGGAAATATAACTCAGGTTGGCAGTCCTGTTGGCAGTGCAATGAATCTGATTCCTGAAGATGGTCTTCCTCCAATTCTCATCTCCACTGGAGTAAAAGGAGGTGAGAGTATAATTTGGCAGCTACCTTTTATGCTTACCAGTTGCACTTAACCAAATAGTTACTGTGCTTATTCTAAAAATAAGATGCTGGCAATATGCTGAGAAGTTGAAGATTCACATTAAGTACTTGTAGCTAAATGTTGTGACAGTCCTTTGCACCATTGATACTGGTATCCAGGAAAAACCCCATCTTGCCATGAAATTACTGTAAGAAGTAAAACATAAAGCAAAAAGAAAATTAACTTCAGTCCAGAAATATGTGCTAATTTCTTCACTAATCGGACTGTGGGGAATGTTTCACACAGAGAGACATTTTAATTAGCCTTATGAATATTCATGCTTCCCTTCTCTGAAAGTCTCTTGGAATGTGCTGTCTGTCTGAGGCATCCCCAGGCACTGAATTCAACAGCACTACTGTACATCTTGGCCCACAGTGAAGCTTTTAGTGATTGTCCCCTTCCAGTGTATCCAAATGGAGGAGGATTCAGAGAATTAAAACCTAATTTTTATAAGATTTAAAAAAAATAGTGTATTTGTTTGTTTGACAGTTGCTTTCCATAGTCTGATTCACAACATCCTTTAATACATTTGTGGGATTAACTTATTTTTATCATTTGTTTATTCCTATTAAATATTTTGCTGATTCAGTGCATTTCTAATGGCATCTGGAAGTAACCTTATATTGCAGGATAGAGTCAAAACCAAAATGTGAGCAGCATTTAATTTCAAAACAAATCTGCTCCATCCTGTCTTAGCTGTTCATATGGGTGTCTGATTATTCAGTCTCCTCCTCAAAAAAGGAGTAAAACTACAGTAGACTTTTCAGCTTTTTTATAGATAACCTCAGATAAATTGTATTTTGTATGCAACGTTGATGTTTCATATGCTGCCACATACTGGATTTTCTTTGCAGCATGTTATTTTTTATATTCTCATTCTATTTTAAGAAGATTAAAAAAAATTCGCATCAGAAAGCAAAATTGCCTTTCTAGATAATTCTAGCTGGAAAGGTAATACATTCCTTTCAAAATCTGTTTTCATCAGTGTGACTATTTGTTGTTAAAGCTTAAATGCAGAGTAGATTATAATCACATGGATCAAATATTCTAATTTGCTAGTCATCTGGGTCTTAATCACAGAGGGACACTACAAACATCTTTGAAGTTTCATGTTGGGACCCATTTTACATTAGATTTAGACCTTGTATGATTTATAAAAAACATTGGTGGATACTGTGCTTCCCTCTTTGTTATCTTCCTAGTAGCTACTGCACAGAAAGTGTGTAAGTTACGTGACACAGGGATAGGCTATTGCTAACTTCTTTGTCATTAGGGATTTGAGGTGGCACCATGACACATTTCTTAATTTAATTTCCATTTTCTCCTCCAGTTGATAGTGAAAAAAAGTTGATTTATGAAACACGCTGCACTTTTCTAAAGGGGTTATGCTCATAAATGCTATTGAAGTTTGAAAATACCAGCCTAGGAAACCATCAATCAAAATAGCAATACTTAAATAAGGTCAAAAAGCAGCAGAATCAGGGGGATCTGTTTAGAACATAGAGTACTGTACCAGTAAGTTAAGGACTTCACTGTGTGTTTACTTGTTTCTTTCACAGACTATGCTGTAGAAGAGAGGCCTTCTCAGATCTCTGTCATGCAGCAGCTGGAGGATGGTGGCCCTGACCCCCTTGTATTTGTTTTAAATGCTAATTTGCTGTCCATGGTAAAAATAGTAAATTGTAAGTTTTTATTATCAAGTAAGGATTGGGCTATGAGAGGGGAAATGTTATGTATGTTATTAGTAGGAGCAGCACTATATTTATTTGGTAGGATAGTCTGAAAATGTGCATGGATTGAAAACTATATTTAGACATATGAAGATAAGTTACAAAAGGCTCTTTTTCAGTGATTTAGACATAAATACAGAAAATTTTGTGTAGAAAATATAAACTAAACTGATAGAGCCTCCAGTCTCAGGTTTGGAAAGAGGTTTCTCCTATGGAATTTGGTAGGGCAAGGTGTTGTACCACTGGTTCTTCCTTTGTTGCTTAACTCCTTGTCATCTCATTCTGGAAGAAGCATATAGGATCCCATAGTAATACACAGGTTCCACTCCACTGTTCTATCCTTTTCTATACTCTGTGTGTGTGTGTACATGTGCTGGGAGAGGGAGGAATGAATGAGGAGGCATACAGATGGCTTCTGATGTTAGTACCTCAGTCTATATCTGCTGGATAAGAAAACATTGTTTGGGAAATTGAGAAGGACAGTTTTGCAGTAAAATGTTCTGGTTATGTGAAAATTTCATACAAGAAATTAAGATGTTGTTTATAAACCTTTCAGCATCTGGTTAGATAGCAGTACAGTTTTTATACATACATATAAAAATGTCATTACTGTGCATATATATACATATTAGATGAAACATTTCAATAACTTAGTGCTCTTAACAAATAACTTGTGAAGCTTGAGCATGTGTCATCACTAACATTCATGTGAAGCAGAACAACATAGTGATGTCTCATGAAAACACCTGACATCCAGTTATCCATCTTAAGAGAGAGACATCACTTTCTGGAACTGGTTTAGCTGTCAGGATCATGGTATACACAGCCAACAGCCTGGCCTTTTCCTAGGTTCCTTCATTCCTGTTTAAACCCTGATCTTTAATTTGGATACAGAAACTGCTAAAAGTTAATTCCAAGATCTGACTGGGAGCTGTAATGCTCTGGCTCCTCCTTAGCTGTAAACGGAATTATTCAGCCAGTTTTGTTTTAGATGTGCTTGCTTGCAAGGTAACAGATTTAGACCCTAATTGTCTGTGTGGCAGATATCACAACGAAACATGCTGTAAAAGTGGTTCTTGAAAGAGCTATTTTTGTGTAGTGAAATTGAGGCATATTTTATGAAATTTTCATCTTCTGTTCTGATCCATGTTTTCCTCTCTGCAGATGTGAACAGGAAGTGCTGGTGTTTCACTACAAAAGGCATGCATGCAGTGGGGCAGTCGGAGATAGTCATTCTCTTGCAGTGTTTGCCTGATGAGAAATGTTTGCCTAAAGATATCTTTAACCATTTTGTGCAACTTTATCGGGATGCCTTAGCAGGTAGGAAAGCTCTCTGTTAAAAACGGTTGGAATAGATGAGCATACTGGGACAGATAATCACATTTTTGCCATTTTGCAAATGGCTATTTTTGCATAAAAGAAAATAAAAAGAGAATAAGGATTAAAACTGATAGGGGGCTGAGTTGTTATTGGTTATTAATATCCAGTGTTATTTTAATCTCACTAAATGGAAGTATTACTGAAGTGCTGGTAACCCAGGGAGCTTCTCCAGAGATTTTCCAGCCTTCCTCTGGGTGCCAGCAGAACAAAGTTTGGGCTGTAAAGACCATGCGTAGACTCTTATGGCAGTGGAGCAGGAGAACTCTGCCTGTGACAACTTTGTGTTCAGCCATTTGTGCCACTGCTGAGTGTCTGCCCTGGTAGCTTCTGCTAGGTGTTGGGGTAGGAATGTGAATACAGCTATCATATCTGGTATTAGTACTGTACTTCAGTTAGCAGTAGGTGTAGTAGGGTACTCAGCGGGGCTCATGGCTACACTAATGACTTTGCTTCTAATTATTATTATTCTTCAGCTTGAAGTAGGGTAGCTTTTTTAAAGATCCAGGAAAAAAAAAGCTGAGAATCCTTGTGGATAGTCTGTTAAACATCCCCAAACCAGGGGGTTCAGAAATTTGATTCCCACAGTGTGTGTGTCTATTGCCACACTTAACAGAGATAGTGCTTATATTACAAACTAATACACATGCACATGTGTATGTGTGCCTGGAATGAATTGTAAGGCACTGCAGAAATTATCCCTGAATTTTGAATTTCACTATCTCAACTGCAAGATTGTATTATGTAAACCTTTATACTTTTTACATTTGCTAAGTAAATGGGCTTCCACTTTTCTCTGTTGTTGAACCTTAGAATTCAAAAATTATTGCCTAAGGACAAATGCAAGTATTTGGTTCCACTGATTATAAAATAAAGATAGTTTTCCAGAGGTGAAATTGGATCACATTATGGCTATATACTGAAAATACATTTACAAAGGGTTCTGGGTATGATTTGCAATGCCTTCCCAATACTTTAATAAAATAATGAAAAAGATCTTTTGTTTCCTAAAATATCTTGATACAGTAAAGGTTAGCTTGTCCAGAGAGGTTGTCAGGTTCAGAAGGTACTATTATCACACATCATAATAGGATCTTGTGTACACTGGGAACAAATACCTTTTCAAACCTCACTAAACTTGCAATGCTTTATATTCTAATTATGATGTTATACTGAAGTGAAAAATTGAGTGCACGAATGTATATACATTGCAGATATAAATCCAGCTTGGTGTGTATATTGCAATGAAGTTCTGTATAATCACACTACAGAAATACATAATTTATGACTCCTACATAATGTATTTGGAATTCTTTTTCTGGTGCTGAGTGGTAGTAATGTGATAACCTACAGTTGCACTGGTGTGAAGAGCTGCTTTCTATTGTACAGTTCTTAATCAGAAACCAAATTTCAGTGTGTAAGATTTCCACTTAATGTGTAATTTCCTGTTGGTTGGATTTGCTCTGTGTTGTATATCAGACATGTAGTAGAAGCAGATAGGCACCTTAAGTTGCTATATAATACCAAATTGCACTGATGTTTTTGTAGAACATAGGACCTTGATAAATTCCCATAGCATTTTGTAATGCACTCTCCCAGTACCCATCCTTTTTTCTTTCCAAGTCATGTTTCTTTGAGAGGGAGAAGTGTATATTAGGGTACTTTCAACTCTGTCTCTTCTAAGTGTTACTGAGCCAGAGACCCAGGATATGATGCTGGAGGGGTTTCAGTTTGGTGGTTGTAATCTCTCGGAATTGGTTAGCAGTTTGCATGATGTTGTAGATGGAGCCATGCTTCTGAAGTTGTTCATTTCAGAGGTACTGAACCTCTCCTGGCAATTAGATGATAGACATTTAGAGTAAACAAGAATTCCCATTAGAAGTTAGAGACTATTTAAAACACTCCCTCGCAGTTTCATTTTTCATTATATAATGTATTAGTTTAAATTCATTTTGCTGTCAGGAAGCTGACATTACTTTGGTGGATGTTTTTATTTATCATCTCCTTTAGTAAATGTTTTCTTAAAAATTCATAAAACAAAAAGACACATACAATATGTTTTTACTGGAATGGAAACGAGAATTACTTTTAGTGATCTTGATTTTGTTGCAGAGTGATCTGGGGGTTTCTTGTTGGTTTTGTTTTCAGCTGAAAAATACATCATTACCTTTTTGTTTATTTCATTAAAGCCCATATCTGTAGCAAATTATTTTTTCATGAGTCATATTTATTTACCAGCTTTTCTTGCTCAAGTTTGAATTCTGCATTCAAGCCTAGAAGCACAGACTTGTACGTACTCATGCCTCTTCCCAGATGTTTCTGCCTTCCTTGGGGGATGACTTGTGTCTTGAGGCTGAGTCCTCTCCTCTGTGCTAGGAACTGCTTTCAAAGTATGGTTCTTGCATGTGCAGGTAGTGGCAGCAGCAGAGCTCAGCCTTCAGACCTGCAGGCAGGGGCATTTAGTCTGCACACTCAGTGCTTTACAGTTTGTCCTTCAGATTCATCTCCTGTTTCAGCATGGGTAAGATGTCAGGCTGGTGCAGCACCGACCTGAACCTTCCTCAGCTTTGTTACTGGAAGTCCTCAACCTCAAGCTGTGGTCTGGTGTTAGGACTTCATAATAAAACAACAGAGAGATTTTTGAGGAAAAATGGTATTTTTCACTATAGGCTGTATGCGTGTGAGTTATAATAGATTGTAAAGCTTTTAATGAAGGCAACTATTAATTGCTGTTCAGTTTTCATCACCCTGGCCCCTCTGTCATGAAACTCCCCGCTGTGCTGCTTTTCTTGTTTGGAAATGGGAAGCTAATGATTTCTGTTGTGGTTGTAGTAGTTGTACTGTTGCAGTAGTAATCCCATGATTATCCTTGTCTGTTGGCTATAAGCCTGGCAGGAGGTCTAGTGAATGGAAAAATGAGAACTTCTGTCCATCTGAATGGGTACTTTGAAGCAGTTGCATGTGTCAATATAGAGCTGCCAGATACGCCCTAGTGCATCAGCTCTTTGATGGAATACAGTAAATGCTACTGTTACTTTTGTAGTGAAAATGCAAATCTGGCAACTGCTTGAAATAGCTTTGTGATCGCCCTGGCTTTGGGGATATTCTGGGTCAGGGTGGATCTATCCCAGTCACAGTTTTGTGTGTGTTTTACCCAGCCTGATTTTAATTAAATCAGGTGGTAGCTAATACAGAGTAAGATCTATGAAGAAGCCCATGTAGCTGTTCTGAACAGAGAACAGGTTAACTGAGTGAATAATATACCCCTGCAATTGTAATGTGGAAAATCAAACATCGTATGAGGTGTGAGAGTGATTGATTGGAAGACTGCTGCAGACTAGTCTGAGGAAGTTTTGGATGCTGGTAGCTGCGACTCACAGTGCTGGGAAGTGAAGCATTATGTCCCTTGCCAATACAAATAAGTTCCTTCCAAATTACTTGCTGATGTGTTTCAATAAAAAGATGCTGAGTATGGTCAGAACTTTGAATATTGGCTTACATGTTTTTTCTCAGTGTTGGCACCTGCTACAGATGTGTCATGCCATCAAGTTCCATTCATGGTCTTGTCTCTTCTGTGGCTCTTGGTGTGGTAGTGACAGGGTTTGTATTGCTTTTCCAAAGAGAATGTGGGCATTTGCTCTTGAAGAAAATCCATCTGGCAGGATTGTTCCCAGGTGAATGTTGCTTTGCATCTCTTGCTACAGAACTGGGACACTTGAGTTTTCAGGATGCTGGCATGGGGTTAGGTACTTGGCAGTTCTTGGTTGTTACTGATGACAGTGGAATGAGGCCATATTTGATGCCTTCCCTGAGACTGGATGCTTTTTGACCTGGGATTAACCAAAAGATATGAAGCATGTATAAGAAATTTAACCTTACTAGTTCTGGTAAATGCACCTAACTGGCTTCACCATGTACTGAGGGCAATAAACAAATGCAAGAATCTTTTGTTCTTTATCTTTCCTGGAATAAACTATTTTATTGAGTTCAGAGGGGATTGCCAGGCTGATATGCAAAGTATATTGTTCATCAGGGGAAGATACTTAGGTGAAGAATTCAAAACAGCAAGGATCATGACTGAAGAGAAAGTTGCATCAGTGGATAAAAGCATGGGTTTTTTTAAAGGACTCTGTAGAGCTGCTTAGGATTTAAAGTCAAGGGTAACCCGGCATAATTGAGAAGAGAGTAAGTACTGACTTCCTGCAGAGCTGCTTTAGAGGCATCATCCACACTTCAGGCACTTCTAAATAATGTCAGTTGTCTGATGTCAGGTGTTGGAACTTAATATAAGGAAAAGCACCTTTCTGTTCACTCTGAGATTACTTGTTTAGACAGGAAGTTGTGATATTTTGTAAATTACATGCTTTTGAGAAGGATAGCTTTGTTTGAAAGCTTTTCTGACAGCTACGCTTCCTCTGAGCTTCTGAAACACAGTTCTCTGCTTAAAATGAGTAACAGTGCACTGGGTTGGGTTTGACCATGTCAAGCTGGTAATAGCAATTTTATCAGTGGGGCCTTGACCTGGAACCACCTTCAGAGATGTGGCAGGAAAGGCTGACAGGCAGAAATGTTTGTGGGACAAGCTCAGTGCTCAGAGAGGCTTTTTTGACTTGGGTTTGTTGGTTGAAAAAGGCACTAGAGAGGGTGTAGGAAAACACTTGATTCTTCCCATGCTCTCCACACAGCAGGCTCTTGCATGCTCTTATAAACCATGAATTGCAGCACAACTACCTAATCCCAATAGTTTGTCCTTTTATTAGTGGTAACCTATTGGAGCTTGCACTGGGACAGCTGCTTGTGTCAAAAAGAGTAACTTACAGTGAATGGTGTGGCTTATGGTAGCACAGTGCTGAAAAGCTGAGTTGCAGATTCCACTTTGAGGGGGGTTTTCATGTTTCTGTTGGCGGAAAAAACTCCTGTTAAGGCATCCCAAGCCTGGAGCCTTGAAGCTGCATCTCCTGAAACGGAAAACATAAGTAGTCATCCCCTTCTGCTGCAGCACTTGGCATCAGTCACAAGTGGAAATGTCTGATTGCTTTGTCATCCCAGTGGGCAGTATCACCCGTCTCAGAGCTGTATGGCATTGTATGGCCTTGTGCAGCTTCACTTTGCCGTGTCTCTTTCACACAGAAAATGCCTCAGAAAAGGGTGCACAATTCGCTTCAGTTTAGCAGTTCATATGCTTCAAACGTTTTAAGGTTAGAAAGGATTATTATGGTCATGTTGTTGGAAGCGAGAACCTCACCAAGTAATTTTACTATCAGGGCCTGTAGCTTCTATTTGGGTAAGAACAGATGGGAAAGGGAAAAGGAAGTTATAAATGAAGAAGAGGAGATTAGTGAGGGTAGGTGGGAACTGCAAAAGCAAACGAGTGGTGCTGAGCTAGAGAAGTGCCAGCAGCTATTTTAGATACGTGCAAATCTTTTTCATGAGCACTAATTGATACACTGGTTTGCACTCACCAGCACGATGCCTGAGTTGGTGCATTAGCAGTGTATTCACTGAGCAAGCAATAGTGTCACAGCACAGGCTGACAGGGAAAGGCATTTGCACATGGGCAGGATCGATGCTTTTCAGCAGCTGACAGCATTTGATGTGGCTCTATTAATCATGTTGGTCCTTCAGTTTGTCCAGTAGCTACTTTTCATCAAGTACGCTCAGCTGAGCAGTGCAGGAGTTGTAGCCACTGTAAGAGTTCTGGAGCATGATCTGGGTCCATGGTGGCAGCTCTATGGGTGTATCTGTAAAATGACAGGTCAGCTTCACGGGACAGTGGCAATGTACGAATGAGCTGCACCCTGCCATGGGTGCCTGGGCTGCTGAAGCCTGTCACCTTGTAAGAGAGAACTTGAGAACTCAGTTTATACAACATCTTATGGGTCCAGACCCAGAAAATCCACTAAGATGCCCACAAATTCGAATAGCGGGGAAAGCCCTGAGCTTATTTGTTAGGTGGAGTATAAAAGGAGCCTTTTGCTTAAAGACGTGCCAGTAGCTATATCTAAAGCTGGAGGTCCCAAGGTCATGTGAAGGAGGTAATACTCAGTAGTGGTTGTGCCAAGGTGGGCTGTCCGGAGGGATGCAAAGTAGCACGGCCACATCTCCAGAGTGGGGCAGGCGTAGCTGTATCATTGTCATGCTGGTGCTGGCTTCATGGAGAGGTGCTATGATTTGGGACTTTTCCAGGGGTTTAGTGTAAAGGACAGATTTGAAAGGATTCATCAGTTATCCTTTCCTTTGCTGGCCAAAACTGTACCTACTGTGTTTATTTTTCTTGCATTTTTAAATGATTGTGTATGATCTGTTTTGCAGCATAAAAATAGAGCAGGCTTATCTTGAATATCATGCTTGTATTACTGAGGATGGCAAAGTTGCACTTCTGTTTTTATGTACTTAAAACCCAGTGTGTGTGTGGCTGTGTGTGTCTTGTGAAAAAGGGAGAAGCCCTTCAGTTACTGTCCAGTTGATGGGCATGTTGGAGCCTGCCTCAAGTTCAAATACAAACACTCCATTATGTGGTGGTGGAGGTGGAGAAGGAGCAGAAAGTCCTACTTAGCAGTCTCTGTCTGCAGGTGGGAGAGCCTGGGATTGCTGCCGAAGCCCAGGAGGTCTGCATGAGTACCTCAAACCCACGTGGTTCCTCATGAGTGGTGTGATCAACTGCACCACACGCTCTGAAATTGCTTGTGTTCTTCTTTGAGAGCAAATCAGCACTGTTAATATTCACATCTTCCTATGGAGAATTGTGATCAGCTGTTCTGTACATTGTTTGCGTGCTGTTGTCATTTGATAAAAGGAATCACACCATGGTTCTTTGCTTCAGTGTTAAATGCTGTGTTAGACACTATAATAATCTAATCAACATTCAGAGTCATTCAGCCCTTCCAGTGTAAACATTTTTGGAAACTGAGAGCATCAAAGAGTAAAAATGGGAGTAAAAATTAGTGATGTTTCTCCCCTGTGTCTGTCCCAGTTGCGTTTTACATTAAGTATACTAATGAAATAAACACCCTTTTGTGTAATTCTTAAAATGACCCAGATTTTCAGTGTGTGTCTGAGCAGGCACCCCGGCGGTTTGCTTAAGTAGAGGGACAACCAGTGGGCATTAATTGTTTGATGAGGTTCACAGCTCTCCTTTAATCACAGCTGGATCTAGAAGTTCAGTCAGCAGCAGTTTCTGCAGTGGAACCCCCTTGAATATCCGCCAGACACTGAAAACAGACTTTCTTTGGTGCTTTTTTAGTGCTAGGAGGAGGTTGCAGGTACCACTTCCTTGGCAGCAGTCCTGGCTTGAGCTATCCTACCTCTTCCTTAGCTATCCCTGGCTATCTGTTACACTGCCTTTACCACTTGAAACAGGTAGATCTCTGTGAAGCAGGCAGTTCACTGAGGCTGGTCTCCCTCCCTGCTGTCCCAGGAGGGGTGGTGGGTCTGTGGTTGTGTGTACTGTCCTAGCAGCACTTCCAGGCATGGCTCTCAGTCAGGTGCAGAAATTAAGGTACGTGCATATATTCCTACAAAACCTACCTTCCTACCAGCAATAGTCACTGAGTATGTGTATCACCAGTGGTGGATCAACCAGAGATCCCATGCTTTGGCAGCAGTTATTCCATAACAGATTACACACTTTTGCATAGGAGGTAACCTGAGCCCCTGTGTGCAGCAAATCATTGGTTCTTGTGTGATTAATAGACATTAATGCTTCAGGAAACAAAGTGGGTTTAATACAGACTTTTGCCCCTTCTGAAGAACTCTATGTTCTTGATACAGCTCTCGATCTGGTGAAGTAATGAGCATTTTTTCTCATAGGTAACATCGTTGGCAACCTGGGACACTCCTTTTTCAGCCAGAGCTTCCTTGGAAGCAAAGAACATGGAGGGTTCTTGTACGTTGCAGCTACGTATCAGTCCCTGCAAGACCTGGTGCTCCCAACCCCACCGTACTTGTTTGGCATCCTCATTCAGAAATGGGAGACTCCCTGGGCTAAAGTGTTCCCCATTCGGCTGATGCTGAGACTTGGAGCTGAATACAGACGTAAGTAACATGCATTCCTTCAGCTGCAGTTATTCCTGCAGGAGAACGTATCCGGTGTAGAGCTCACATCCAGCCCTAAATTGTTACCTGTCAAAGCCACACAAGCTTAAACAGGCAAGTAGAAATTATGTTTGATGCCCACCTTGCATCCAGCTACCAGCACAGCAGTACTGAGGTTGTGATAGGACCTGCAGTCTATTTACAACTGTAGTGATTCATCAGGGAGACTCTTGTGGAGGCAAATCTAGGTCTGAGCAGCTGTTTGTAGTTCACTTAGTGACCTGAAAGAGAGTTATGTGCAGAACACTCTGATTTAGCTGGTGTAGTTAGGACAAGAGAGAGATGTTAAGGTCTTTCCATGCTGAAATGAATGAGCTTTTGCTTTTAGGTTTTTAGAACCACACTCATTTTCTAGACAATAACAATATGTGTGTAGGGGCAACTGACCTGGCAGTTTGCTGCAAAGGAGAGAGTGTTTCAGCTGAAAATCATAGCAGGTAGCATGAAAATAGCATAAAGTCAGGATAAAACCTTTTTCAAAAGACATTTGCCATTGCTGGAGCAAATTGATTCTTGGAAGTCTCTCCACCCTGATGGACTCATCTGCAGTTTCAATTGGAGCATCTTGTAAATCTGAATTACTATGAAAATGGTCTGTTCATTTTTCTCCAAAACTTTTTCATGACTTATTAACAAAATAAATTTTAGCATATACTTTAATGTAGGGATTTGTAGATTTAACTTGTGACATTTAGGGAACATGGAGATTTATTTATAAAATAGCTATGTCATTGGAGAAGAAAAGGGAAATCTTCAAAATTTGCCTTCTTAGGATGAGGGCTGTAGGTTAAACTTCTCAGAAGAAACATTAGTGTTGAAGGTGTGTATGTTTTTGTGTGTATCCATGAGGTTTTCAAGCAGTGCATTTATTTCCATCAACATTTAAAAAGCAAAGATGCTCATATTTTTGGATGTGACATCTGTTTTTGAGCACAGAAACAAATGGTTTGATATTCACAAACAGAAGCACCTGCTCGGAGTACGTTGGGCAGCAACCAGACTGATTCTGTAGCTGTGGTTTGGATTTAGGCATATTCACTTATGCTGTGACCGTTGTGACTGCAGGTCACTTACTCAGTCCCCTCAGGGAAGGGGCTGCATTTTTGTCCCAGGTGTCCTTGGATACATCCTCTTTTCTGCTGGAATGGCAGATTTCAGCCATTTGCCCAGCACTGCTGGATGTGCAGCAGGTCAGATGCCGGAGTCACTGCAGGTTGCTACATGTCCAGAAAATGTCTGCTGAGCATCTGCAGTTCAATCACACAGCTCAATCTGGGGGTACTTTATGCATCCGGGACGTAGCTGAGCTGCTGTAAGCAGCCAGGGTGGCAGACCCGGCACACTCAGCACTTTTTGGTGCCTCAGGACACTGGGCATGAGTTGATCAGCTGTACAGCATGTGTAGGAGCTGTGATGCTGTCCAGATACCGCACCAGTGAGCAGGAGCTGGAGCTTATTTCCCTCAGGATATTCTGATGGAGTTGTTCAAATCCGCTGAGCCCCTTCTGGCTACACTGGGAACTGTGAAGATGTGTGTCATTTTGGGAAATCAGGCTTTGCCTTAGGGCAGTTTAGGAACCTTCCTTTAAACATCTGTTTAGAAAACCTTGGCATTACATATTACTGCGTGAGTCATGGTTCAAGCATTGTTATGGCTTATGCTGCAACATAATGTCCTGCAGCCAAATCCATACACTACACTTCAAATTGCATCAGAGATGTTTTACAAGGATGGCTAAGTCAGCCAAGGAATGTGGATGGTTTGCATTGCTGATGTACCATAATTGTCCTTTTAGTTGCTTTTGACATAATCCTGTAGAGTCTTTGCTGCGTTCTTATGAAAATAGAAAATGAAAGAATCTGTATTACCACTTGAATGTCACACACATCAGCCACAGAAGCTAAAAGCTTATGGTGCTAAAGTGGAGAGCAGCAGGATGGTCATAAGAAAGGAAGAAGCTATTTCCAAGAAGTGGGCTGAGAAAAGCATTTAGAAAGGTCATCTCTGCAGTCAGTGTCCAGGTCACTAGGTTCAGTCTTGCAGTGTGGCTCTTGTAAGCATCCCACATAATTCTTACTGTTCCTGATGTGGTGGGCAAGGAGCCACGACGCACACGTAAGGAGCATTAGAAGGTTAATCCCTTCTTCCCTTTTGCTTTTTAAACCAGCCTTCTTCCAGGCTCTTTCTTGCTGCTGCTTACCATATTGAACTAGAGAGATTGTGTATGAGTCTGTTTTGCAGGATCTCAGTGTGTAAATTCATTCTGACCTTGTCTGTTTTATTTTATCCTAGTTTACCCATGCCCACTTTTTAGTGTCAGATTTCGCAAGCCTTTGTTTGGAGAGACTGGACACACCATCATGAACCTTCTTGCAGTAAGTGCTGAGACTCAGTCTGCACATTCCATCAGTATGAATGGATCAATGTGGGGAGTAGGTGGCAGGTTTGGAAGGTGACTAAAGGCAATAGTGGGCGCTTGGGTGAATTTGCCAGATGTTGGATGGTAGCTTTCAACAACACTGTGAACTGTAACAAGGTACCCAAATCAGCATCCAAAACCTGACCACCTGAGGCGTCTGGATCTGGAAACAAGTGCATTAGTTGCTCGAATTCTCTCCTCAGAAGTGCTAGGTCATCACAGTGTGCAGTCACAGCTCTCTGATTATACAGCACTTCAAATGAAGCAAAATTATTATCTCTTCCTACTTTGCTAATGTTTCCAATATAGAAAATTCTCTGATGCGTGACTTAATCTCACTGCTAGAAAGGCAAATATCCAGTAATGTAACAGCATACAGAGAGCAAATTTTCTTACATACAGTGATGACATTCAAGGCTGGAGAATATTAATTTTGATGTAAGGAAATTACTGAAATGACTTAAGAGCCAAGATGATGCTTTTTCATTTGTGTTCTTCGATTATGTAGGTTACAAGCTGTGATGTCTCCATCGCTCCCTGCATGTCAGTCCCTGACTACAATTGTTTTAATGGGCTCACTAGTAGTCACCAGCGCAGTTATGAACTAGAGTTAATGATGATGATCATGCCTAACTTTTAAAAACATGTTCTAATTACCAGGACTTCAGAAATTACCAGTACACGCTGCCTGTTGTCCAAGGTTTAGTGGTTGATATGGAAGTCAGAAAAACCAGCATCAAAATTCCCAGCAACAGATACAATGAGGTAATGCTTATAAGAAATACATTTGTGGGCAGCTTCTTTGTGGTTGGAGGACTTGGGATCTAAAGGCATTTTCTTCTATTCACTACCCCTAGGGAAAACTGCCTCAAATGAGAAACACAGGATGCATACATCTTTGGAAAGTGAGGGAGGTTGGCTTCTCCATTAAATGCCAGTCAATTTAGTATTAATTAAACAGACTCTTTTTTCTTCAGGTTTTTATCTGTTTGCATATAAAGTGTAATACTGGTTTGATGTGTGCAAATAAGTTGATGAACATTACCCTTGAGGTAAACTAGGATGAAAAAGTGCATTAGCTTTCCTCATCTATGTTCTGTGTGTATTCTTGAAGCATTTATTAGTGCTTTGTTTATTTTATGTAAAATTTCTCTCACCATCCAAATTTTATCCTTGATTTCTGGTGTGACAAAATCAGTTGGAGTCTTTAGCATGGGTAGTGCTGTTAAGAACTAGGTGAGAAGGGATTTGAACAACAATGAAAAGAGAACATTGGAGAAAGTGATTGATTTCGTGTTCTGTCTAAATAGGAGAGAGTAACTTGGTATTTTGGAAGCAATCAGCAGTCGGGTGAGAGCAAATCTCCTGGGCAATCTGGTATTTGTAAAAGTGTTTGTAATATCAGAGCAGAATGCAGCTTTATCTCAAGAGAATTTCTCTGCAAGAAGCATTTGAGTAAAATAACAGGATAAAGGAATACATTGAAATAAAGGAAAAAGCATTCTTATGTGAAGTTTGAAAAAGATGAAACTGATGAAGCAAGAAGATAAAGGGCTCTTAAAAGGTGTATTAATTCTCGATGCAGCTGTGAGGGAAGGGAAAAGGTCAATGAAGTCTGCATGAATTGCATAGGGATTGGCACACAGGGTGCAGTTCAGTGAGCGTTAGCTGTGCATGCCACTGGCAAGTGCATCATCAGCTTTGGTCTTGTGTTAGACTGCACTAAGCTGGGCTGTGAGGATGCTCCTGTGTTAGGCAGCTGAGCAAAATGTCTGCACTATGCTTGGGTTCTCCTTCCAGAGTGAAGCAAGGATTCCACTTTCTAAATGGAGTAAGTGTTAGTTATTTAACATTATTCACAGAATTGTAGAATCCCAGAATGGTTTGGGTTGGAAGGGACCTTAAAGCTCACCCAGTTCAACCCCGTCCCACGGGCAGGGACACCTTCCACTAGAGCAGGTTGCTCCAAGCCCCTGTGTCCAACCTGGCCTTGAACACTGCCAGGGCTGGGGCAGCCACAGCTTCTCTGGGCACCCTGTGCCAGCGCCTCAGCACCCTCACAGGGAAGAGCTTCTGCCTCAGAGCTCATCTCAATCTCCCCTCTGGCAGGTTAAAGCCATTCCCCTTGTCCTGTCCCTACAGGCCCTTGTCCAAAGCCCTTCTCCAGGTTTCTTGTCAGACCCTTTAGGCACTGGAGCCTCCTCTTCTCCAGGCTGAACAAGCCCGGCTCTCTCAGCCTGCTCCCACAGCAGAGGTGCTCCTCAGGGCATCTTCATGGCCTCCTCTGGACATGCTCCAAAAGGTCCATGTCCCTCTTGCAGTGGGGGCCACAGAGCTGAATGCAGTACTCCAGGTACTTGCAATCCAGTTGGAAGATTGAATTACTATAAATTTTTCACCTGAGTTTAGTTTGAATTCAGATGAATTAAACCACAAGACCTTTATCTTTTCCCCATGTAAAGCAGTATTTAATTAGAAGCGTGTCACTCAAGCTATCTAGCAAGTTAAAATCTCACTCTGAATTCTCTACACCTAATCAGTGCATGAGATTTAGTCTGCAATTAACAAACACTAATATATAGTTTTTCTATGAAATACGTATTTTTTACTTCAAATCCTTTAGATTTTCTACAAATTATAGTGATAGTTAGCTGCCTGTTTAGTCCCTCAGCAAAGGTGGCTGTCATTTTTTAATCAGCTGCCTTGTCCCAAAGCACAGTTGCCATAGCATTGTAGAATGGTTTGGGTTGCAAGGGACCTTAAAGCTCATCTAGTTCCACTCCCTGCCATGCCCACTTGTTTCCTGTTATACTAAAGACAACTACCAGGCCCCATAAAGCTGCTGCTAAGCTACAACCTTGTTTCTGGAGCACGGCATGATGAACTAGATAATGAAATACACTGTTGTCTGATGCAAAATCTTAATTAAGTTTCCTCCCCAAACATTACACCTGTGCACATTTGTCAATGATGAACATCAGCTAATGTTCCTGACACTATAATTAAGGCTTTATGTTAGCCTGAGAGAGATAAATGCATTGTGTGTAGCATGCATGCTTATCAGCTACAGGAAGCAGAGGATGGGAGTACGAGTGCATTTTCCTTCTCATCAGGGTTTTCACGGGGGGGGGGGGTGTAATTCTATTTGCCTTTTTTTTTTAAGCAAACCTAGGATTTTTTGGGTTTGAAGCAAATCGTAGAGGTAGGTGACTCCCTCAGTTTTAGTTTGGATCAAAAAATTCATAGTCTGAGCCTTCATGAAGAGGAGGAGAGGAGAAAAGGAAAGAAACTGTCTAACTTACAAGAACATTTCTCAATGCACGTAACTGGGTGTATGTTAGATGATAATCAGCAAGACTGAAGTGCAGATACACGCGAATGTTTTTGGAGGCCTCCTGTGCAGAGAATTAAAATAATTCTGGATGTCTGTGGTACAGATCTCTTTAAAAAGTCTTCAGATTGGGAACTTTGATCTCAATTTCTGCAGTTCATGCGGGTGAAGCACAGAGATGCTAAAGCTTGGGTGGCTGCTCTTGGCACAACCAGGATAAAATGCTGCAGCTCCGAGTGTCAGTCTGGTACTGAACTGGGGAGGCAACATTTATCATTTGTGTTATAAGCAACTGTAGTTGTGTAAAAAACCCAGGTTTTGTCTCTCAGTGTTTTCCTAATGTGTTTTCCTGTGAACTGACTGTTCTAAACCAGCTAGTGATAATAGCTTTTGCGGCCTGTGTAGCTCAGCTAGCCCTTATACCATTTATCTTAATTACATAAAAGGTACTTTAAAGCATCGAAACAGGACAAGACCTGAACCCTCTTTTCAAAAGCAGCTTATGGTTCCGAGTGCTAAAATCTGACATGAGAACATGAGCACTGGTGAGAAGCTTGCTCTCAGTGCTCTGTCCAATTAAACTGTTCCAAGAATCCCCTATTTATGGTAGTGCTTGATGAGCAGGGTAGAAATGATAAACCTTTTTGTTTGCAGATGATGAAAGCCATGAACAAATCCAACGAGCATGTCCTAGCAGGGGGAGCGTGCTTCAACGAGAAAGCAGACTCACATCTGGTGTGTGTTCAGAACGACGACGGGAATTACCAGACACAGGCCATCAGCATCCATAACCAGCCGAGGAAGGGTGAGAACAGGGGGTCACGAGGAGGCTGGACCCTCTTTGCCCTTTGTGTTACCTGTCAGAACTGGGTTTGTCTGCCTGTAACTGAGTTTGTTAGACACTGAGAGCATAATTGCGACTGCTGGGCAGCTTTGTGGGTTAGACGTGCAGTGCAAGGAATAGTAACGTGTTGCTCTGTCTGCCCTTTACCCCCTTGGTGTTTTATTCCCCTCACAGAATCCATGATCTCAGATGTCAGGGGGCACACTGTGCAGTTTGCATCCTGTGCACAGTCCACGTCCCACTTCTCTGGGCCAGCAGTGCTGGTCTGACTTTGTCCAAGAGGTGCTCTAGCAACTGCATAGATCAAGCAGACATAGAATAAAGCACACAACAGCTTCCTCCCTTGCAAATACAGCGACGCTGCTTGCACAATACAGCCCAGGACTTGTGCTGCTCCAGAGGTCACAGTGCTCTAACTGGCTTAGGCAATGTCTCTGGATTATTAATGAGAGCTGTCATTGGCACAATTGGAGGCTGCAGGTGAGGCTGTGGTTGCCTGTGCTTGACCTGTACCGTGTGAAAGGAGGAAGCTTAGATTTAGTCTGAGAGAAAGGTGAATAGGCATAACCAGCCACAGCAGCATTTTAATAATGCAGCTTCAAGAAACATTTGTTCACTTCCATTAGACCATCTAATTTCCAGGCTTTATTTTTGTTAGAGGCTGAAAGGCTGCAGCAGCTTTCTCACAGTGCTGAGAATGTAAAAACTGTGGGTTTGGGCAAAACTTCTGGCAAAGACATTTGTACTATCTCTAAATGAGAACAAACAAGACAGAGGCCAACTCTTACATTGTGCAAGTATCCCCAGTCACTCCAGTGAGTATATTGGGACTGATGGGCTTATCTGACTTTTACATACGGGACAAGAAGAGGGATTTCCATCAGGAATTTCATGATGCTTAGCGGTCATTTAAGAGCATTTTACTTTCAAATCAGGTGGCTTTGAGCTGTGGCCTTGCCAGCTGGGTGGGAATGCTCAGAAGGTAATTATGTACTTGGTTACCCTAAATGAATAGTCCTGAAACTTAGAGGTGTGTATGGGGAGAGTGATGAAATATGAGCATTTGTTAAGGTTGACAAAAACTCTTTTCTAGTTTAGAAAATAACTGGGTGATTTGTCCTTCCATACATCAGCCTGGGAGGTGCATTAAAGTCACCATAGTTCCAAGCAGCATTTGATTAATCACCTCTGGATGCTGGAGCTGCAATACCTAATTCTCATGTTTTGATGAAAGCATCACTAAGTCACTCCTGTTGTTGTTGCAGTGACCGGTGCCAGCTTCTTTGTGTTCAGTGGAGCTTTAAAATCCTCTTCAGGCTACCTTGCCAAATCCAGTATAGTAGAAGGTAAGAACTGAACTGCTTGCTTAAAGCACACTGCTTCCTCCTTAACACAGCTCAGCTCTGTGCTTAGCAGGGCTCTGCTGTTACGCCCTGGGCATCTGAAATCATGCTGCTGCTCCAGCTTTATCCTACTTTTTAGCAAAAAACCCTCAGAGCCCCAGTTTCCTTTAATGAGGAGGAACTTGTCCAGATGCTGTAGAACAGGGACACCAAGAATATGAGGGTACGATATGAAATACTTACTACCTGGCTTGTGAGGCTCTGGCCAGTTTACTCGTTAGGGTTGAACGAGGAAATGTGAACCTGAGAACTATGGAATGTGTACTCCACAGACCAGGAGAGGAAGCCCTGCTCAACTTACTCTGTTCCCACATAGCTCTGCTTTACGCACAATTAGGGATGCACGTTTATATGCTTGTATGTGGGCAGATGAGAACACCACAAGTGGAGATTGTTGAGCTGGTACCTCTCTGATGTGGTTTGTTCTTCTTTTACCACTTGTCATATCACAGAGGCAAACGCCAACTGCACACAGTTGTAGTCTGACCTCACTGCAGATGTGACAGTGGAGGCAGGAGTGGTTTAAGTGTGCTCCTTACAGCGTGAGTGAGGTACGTGAGAGCCCACGTGCGCAGTCAGCCAGCACAGCTCCACTGATGAGCAGGAGCTCCTTCAGCTGCAACAGCCTGTGAGCTGGCAGCTTGTTGAGCGTGCGGTCCATGGGTGAGTGGCCACCCAGGGCTGAAAGGCCACCCTCTTGCTGTAAGTCACTATCTGTAGATCATTGCACCATTTTCTGTGTCTAAATTGGTGGTTTAGTGTAACCACTGTAAGTGGTTTAGTGGTTAGTTTAACCTCTGTTAGGCACAGGTACAGGTGGATTCAGGCAAGGAGGCTGCACACAGGGAAAGCGTTTCATTCCCAAGGTATTTCTGCAGTAATTTAGACTGATCCAATCCAAATCTGTCTCCTTTGCCACTGTCTCACAAGCTCCTGTCACACTGGAGTGCTGCTTCCAGTGCCAGCAGAGGCAACAGCAGAAGGGAGGGGGGCACAATGGGGTTCCTGGGGGTTGCCTAGAGTGGGTGTCATGTTCTGAGGCAAACTAATGTGGCTGTTGTTACAGCTGACTTCCCCTGGTACATGGACTTCCCTTCATCCTTGTGTGACCCTGGTCAACGCTCCTCAGTTTTAGGAATCTGAGAGTTCAGAGATGGTCTTATGTAGCATTGCTGCTTATAACTCTTAAAATGGATGTCTGAAATTTTTGGATGCAAAAAGAGGAAAGGGATTTCTTTCTTTTGCATATAGGCTTTGTTCAGTGTGGTTTACCTTGGCTTACAAGGATTTCTTGGTTCCCTAGATGGAGTAATGGTCCAGATAACTGCTGAGAACATGGACTCTTTGAGGCAGGCCTTGAGAGAGATGAAAGACTTCACCATTACATGTGGCAAAGTAGATGCTGAAGATCCTCAGGAACACGTTCATATTCAGTGGGTAGAAGATGATAAAAACTTCAGTAAGGGGTAAGTAGAGGAGCAACCACTTGACACTGAATGGTGACTGAGTGTATTCGTTAAAACTTTTAATTGCTCTTCTAAGGTGCCTGAGTCTTCAAATCAATAGGAATTACAAGTCTGTGCCTCTATTTTGAGTGATAAGATGCAATTAAATGTGATGAAAATGGAATTGACATACCTAGGTTTGGGGCATCAATCTAGAAAGTTGTCTATGCTATGGATTTTTTGCCATTGCTAATATCTAGTTACTGGAAATCACTAATCTGTCTGCAACAGTCAGTGCTGAACCCTGCATATTGTGGTCACTTTGCTCTCCTGGTGCTTAGTTTGCATTAAGTAGCACTGGAAATAAAATTGCTGATGTTCAACAGTGTATTCGGACTCTTCATAGTTAAGCCAAAAGAAAGAGGTTTATGGCAGTCTAGTTTTTATGGCAGTAAAGCGCTGCTGCGATGGGTACATTTAAGGACTCAGCATCTAGTTTCAGGCTCTGCAGGTCAGGCTTAGGCTCTGTAATTAAATTCTGGGCTGTGCAGGTCGTGTTTCAGGTGTTGCTGGCCTACACGGAGGTTCCAAGTGAATAAACCCCACACCTCATTGCTGCATTAGCACCTTCTGAGGTCTCGGCTCTGGTACAAAGCTTTGCTGCAAACCTGCAGGAAGGTCCCTCCTGTACCTGCTTTGTGCACACTGACCGGGGCAGGCTGCAGGGGGAAGCAGGGAGGATGCTGCCTCTCAGCTCGGAGCCCATTCCCACAAGTCTACTCACGCTGAAGCTCCAGGCCCAGCACCATCCTCGCAATTAGCAGTTGCAATCAAGATCACTGTTTTGGGCACCCTGAGAGAAGCCTTTGGGTTCCCTTCTGAGGGTAATTTAGGTCTATGCCCCATCAAGCTGCTGGGGTAAGTTGCTGCGTCGTAGCAGTTCCAATTGCAGTTATGAAAACCCCTGCAGTGAGGCAGCTGAGGATTCAGGTGTAGCAGCAGAGCTGCCCTTTGAATGTGGTTCTCTTTAGCAGTGGTCTCTGTTCAGCTCATGGCTTCTGCTGAGTCTGAACTTACCCTTTTCCCTCCCTTTCAGTGTTGTAAGCCCTATTGATGGCAAATCAATGGAGTCTATAACAAGTGTGAAGATATTTCACGGCTCAGAGTACAAGGCAAACGGAAAGGTCATTCGGTGGACAGAGGTGAGTGAGTCCAACCGAGCTGCATGCAAAGCAACACTTGGCTTTTGGGACTGCAGCTACAGCCTTCTGCTGCTTTTGACCTGCTCTCCCCGCTCACCAGAATTAAAACAGTAAATTCTTCAGAACAAACCAAACCTGTAGTAACTTTCCTACCTGCAAGGAAACATTCAGTGTGGCAGAATAAAATACCTATGGCTGGTCCACAGCTCAGCCTGCTCAGGCCTAGCCACCTCCTTCCATACAGTTTGAGAACATGGAGGGAGGGGGAACCAGAAAAATACTTGCTAATTGTCTTACCCCAGGTGATAGTTGGGTTTTAGCTGCATTTGTATTAAAACCAACCTTTGAAATGGAGACAAAATAACTATTTTTTAAACTGGTTCTTTTGAGCCACCTTCTCTAACATGGTGCCTGTTAAACTGGAAGCGCTGTGGCATCAAACACTGATGGACCTGTGACTCTGCCAGCACACAAATGCTGACATTAAAAGATTTCTTCAAGTGTTTCTCTTAACCTGGCCAGGAGGAACCATGTTACTCCCTCGGCAGCTTGCCCCTTTGTATCCTACTTTCCTGGGTCCATGGGGCTCAACAGAGCCAGGTCGAGTGGCAACAGCAGTACAGGTCTTCAGGCTGGGATGGCTTCCAGTAAAACTGTGAATTTTCTGCAATTAACAACTCCTTAAAAGCTGGTATTTATTAAAAACTATGTGCAATAAATAGTGAATTTCCACAGTGAGGCTCTGCCCAGAACTGAAAGGTTTTTGAGAACACAACTATACAAATCTTTCCTTTTCTACTTCTTCTCCACCCTAAGGTGTCTTGTCTTCAGGGTCATTTGCTGGTCACCCCTGAGCAGCTCTTCTTCTTCTTCCTTTCATTTGTAAAAAGGCTAAATGGTGTCTCAGTAACCTCATTTGCTGGAAGAGCCAAGGGTTGTGTCTTGTGTTACCTCTTTCCTTCAGGTGTTCTTCCTGGAAAATGATGAGCAACATAATGGTCTGAGTGACCCAGCTGACCACAGCAGGCTGACTGAAAACGTGGCAAAGGCTTTCTGTTTAGCTCTCTGTCCTCACCTCAAGTTGCTGAAAGAAGATGGAATGACTAAGCTGGGTCTGCGCGTTACACTCGACTCGGATCAAGTAAGTCTTCCATAGTTTTGGTTTGACTGGGGGTTGTTGCCTTTTCATTCCCCAGAAAGGGAATACACACTTCAACCATTCTCTTGGTTAAAGAAGTACCAGTATGAGATGCCAGTGTGGTGGTGCTGATGGTGCTTGGTGTTCTGGGCCAGCTGTTAAAATAGGAAGCTAGTGCTTATCCTGAATTAACACCACGCTTGGCCCCTGTGGGCCACTGGCAGTGCCTGCTCTGCAGCCAGAGCTGCAGGACCAGCCCTGTGAGCTGCAGGCCTGCCACATGCTTGGGGAAGACAGAATTGGCCTTTGCACCGGGAATTAAAAAGCCAGGAATGTACGAAATGTATTATAAGCACAAACCATTCACAAGCGTGGTTGTTCTTGAAGATCTCGCTGCATACGAGACAGAGCAGCAGCTGGAAGTCCCTTAGGGAGTGCTCTGCAGCAGAAGCCAGGAGCAGAGATAAGGGGCTCCTGGCAAGGGAGCTGGCCTTGCCCTGGAGTGGAGGTGTTCCTGGTGCCACTCAGCTTTTAGATGCTGCCTGACTTAATCTGGTAACACAGGGAAGAATGATCTGCTTTGACAAAGCAGTAGGGTGCTGTGTGTAGGTGGCCACTGGGAACATAAGGGAGAACAAAAACAAGTGGAAAAGCTGCTTTAGTGCCTGCTAAATCCTGTTGAAGTGCCCAACTTCCTGGGCAGAGGCTCATCCTTGCAGCCTGTGTCCTGTTCTCTGTAAAACCCCCCTTCTCACTTTGTATTTTTTAGGTTGGTTATCAAGCTGGGAGCAATGGACAGCCACTGCCCTCTCAATACATGAACGACCTGGACAGTGCCTTAGTTCCAGTGATTCATGGAGGGGCATGTCAGTTGAGTGAGGGGCCAGTCATAATGGAGCTCATCTTTTATATTCTGGAAAACATCTCATAAGAGGACTTCATTTTCTGTTCAGACCTGTTCCAGCAGCAGTTGTATCTGAATCATTTGCACTTTAAAACTGGAAAATTAAGCTTTTGTTAACACTATTGGGGAAGGGGGGGTGGGGAGGGAGGTACAGTTGTTCCATAATTCTAAATCTTCTATGCATTGTCAACAACCAGAGGATCAGGGCAGCTTCTATACTACAACATGGCTATGCTATCCTTGCAGCTAATCCACTTCTGTTACTGTTTAGAGAAATGCTCATGTTTAAAGACTTACAGTCCATGTACTCTAAATGCTCAAACGGGTGCGAAGATCACTGGGGCATAAATAAAAAGTGAAACTCCACTCTTGTCCTGGTTGTAGATGGACATGTGAGAACCACCACTCACAACCACCGTTCTGACCTCGTCCTCATGCCGCTGGTGGTTGTGCTGGAGACATTCAGAAGTCATGTTTACATTATTTTGACCAGATTATTGGTTGAAGACATTCAGAGTAGCCCTGGAGAGACAGGGACAGGTTACCCAGCCATAACGACATTGGTCTTTGCCTCCAAAGGAGCAGAAGGGCAGGTGGGATTATGTAGACTGCAGTTTTGTGTGTGTGATAGGCTACCTTCCTTTTCCCCCCCTCTCTTTACTGTAAACCCCTGTCACCTCTGCAGATTCCTTTGATCTCCTAGAACAACTCTGCTATTCTGTACTTTGTTTACAAATCTGTTACAAAGCAGAGGAAATACCAGCCCTGAAGTGTGGTTCTATCTCATTGCTCTTCCCCAGTAGGTCCTGCTTTTAAAGAGAAGTAACACCCAGGGCAGCTCTGAGCCTCCTCCTCGCTGTACGCTGTAGCGTAACGCTCGTGTCATGTAACACAAGGCAGCTTGCACTTCATCTTAGCAGCCCCATGTAAAAGCTTACCTGTGCTAAAAGTCTAGAGTGGCTCTTTTTGCATGTTCTGCTGAAAAAAGGCTTTGTGGGCAGCTCCCAGCAGTCGCGCCTGGCCCAGCGCTCCTGGTCTCACCCGAGAGGGCTTTAGTAGGGCA